TATAAACATTTGGTAAATGTATTACAGGTGTACTGAACTGAGCTGTGTCAATAAATCTCTTCGTATCCGGTCCAAAGTTTTTGAACACCCTTGTGGACAGAAAACCGGAAATAATTACCCCAGTTCAGAGGCATGAGCCAAAAGCATTTGTTCATCATACTGTTTGTCAGTGGTCTTTCTCCACACTGGCTTTGACATGTATCGGTAGAATATATATTCAATTAACTATTCCTTAATGAAATGATAGTAACATCAGTTTAATTGTAATCTTCCGTACAAGGAAATTTATCTATGCTATTGTTACTAGCCTCAACAATGTCAGCAACAACAACAACAATATGGAGAAACCTATTGACATCAAAAGTGAGTTAATAAGCGATACACGTACAGTCCATATAAAAAATAGATGTTGAGCTGTTCAGTAACAAATTCACATTAAGATTCCGCTATCCGGTTGGGGTTTCTCTCCCCCACCCACCCCCCCATCCCCGTTCCCGACTATCCCATCTCATTTGTGGCGGCCCAACAGTGTACAGCCAGTTGGACGAAACCTTACTCATCTGCGGAATTTAATCATGCACAACAGACTTCAATGCGCACACAAACGACTGATTCACATTCTCTCTATCTTCCATTTTAAATGGGAATACTTCTAAGCTAACAATCATTGTGAANAATAATCATTGTAAAATTAGTGAAATTAGAGAATAGCGAGAACAGGGTCTTTATATTGAGAAAAATACGTAACAAAATCTTTTTCCCTGAGAAATTTAGCAAGCTTCGCTGCTTCAGTTTGTAAATGCTATGTTCTATGTGAAACCAAGTCTCATAGACCTTTGACCGGCGCTTGGGGTCGATCAACCTCATTTAATGGTGCCTTCCATCCAACTGTTCAAAAATGTACTTCCTATGAGGAAGTACGCTGCACCAAATGTTCGCACGTGTTACTCCGTTTATTTGATCCAAAGAACTGTCTCGTGGATAAAGCGTTTTACTTCAAAAATAAACAATTTCTCTTGTATTTAATAATGCTCAGTTCTCGAGCAAAGAAGAAATTACCACGTTCTGCAATGGTTGAGTCTTTGCAGTATTGGTTATGATGAGTACGAATAACGAAAACCCAAATAATGTAAAGATTATGGACGGCAAATTTCTTTAGAGTTCGGTAGCACATTCAAACCTGCAAGTATTAGAGATAAAATGGTAATCAAATAAAAATTCAAGTACCCTTAGCTCACTGACTGACTGACTGACTGACTGACTGACTGACTGACTGACTAACTGTGTGCGACTGACTGATTGGTCGACCGACTGACTGACGGATTGAGTGAATGAATGAACAGTCAACAGTGGATTTTCTCATTGCAAACTAGAATTGATTAGCATGCTCTGTCAGATGACCTACCGAGGCGGGAGAAAAGCGCACATTAGCTTCCAGAAAAACGTAATTCCGTGTAAGGCGTAATCCGCGTTTGTGAGCGGCATTTGAATCCCGTCCTCGTTCACACTGGGAATCAAAGTGACAGCCCTGACGGGGACGTAAAGCGTGTGATTCGGAAAGCGTTCAGGGAACAATAATTGGGGAGGGGGGACCAATGAATGACGGATACAGTTTATTTGCCTGAATCTGTGCAGTGGCTTCTTTGGGGAAGCGAAAGCGACGATTTTGTAAAACTTCGCAATAAGTGAGCAAGAAAAATGCAAATTTTGTGGCGTACAGAAAGTTTAAATAATAATTA